ATAAAAACTCAGAGAATTCAGATAAGAATTCTGAATAAGGACCTGGTGCACGGTACACTGTAACAAATAAGATTGGCTGCAAAGTTTTCCAGGTCAGATGCGTAAGACTAAAAACGAGACTTTCAAAGGAGGTATAATTTAATTTTGGTTTAGTATTGATAAGTAAACTTGAGTCAAAGATGGCTGCAACTCCACCTCCTCGGCCCGTGCCTCGGGCAATATGAGCATTGATATGGCTGGGTGGAGTGGCCTCATTTATGCTGACATATTCTTCATGTCTCAACCAAGTTTCAGTGAGACAGCATATATCAATATTATAATCTGATATTAAATCATTTACCAATATTGCTTTAGATGCTAGAGATCTTATGTTTAAGAGACCACATTTAATATTCCTGTTTTGTTGCACTGTAGTAGTTGTTACATTTACTTTGATTAGGTTATTATGTATGACACCTCTATTAGGTTTTACCTTAACTTGTCCTTGGGCAGACACACACACCGCTAATATTGGATATTTTATTGGGTTCAGGATTCCTATGGATGACTGCCTAGGAGAGAGCGCAGAGAAGCATGTAAGACTGCGACTCCGCCTCCTGGTCTCAACTCCAGTTTGTCATGGATTAAGTCCACAAAGCCCTGAAATGTTTGCCGAAATGAGATCGGCACCTTCCAAAGTAGGATGAATGCCGTCTCTCTTAATCAGACCAGGTTTTCCCCAGAAGGCTGTTCCAATTATTTACGAAGCCCACATTGTTTGCTGGGCACCACCAAGACAACCAGCGCTGAAATGATGACATGCGGCTATACATGTCATCATTGATCAGATTGGGGAGGGGACCAGAGAAGATTACGGTGTCCGACATTGTTTTAGCATAACTACACACCGACTCCACATTAAGTTTGGTGCATTCTGATCGGCGTATACGAACATCATTACCACCGACGTGAATAACAATCCTACTGTATTTACGTTTATTTTTAGCCAGCAGTTTAAGATGCGCCTCAACGTCGCCCGCTCTGGCCCCCGGAATGCATGTGACTGTGGAGGCTTCGGTCTCTAATTTCACGTGTCTCATAATAGAGCTACCAATAACCAGAGTTGGCTTCTCAGCGGGTGTCTCGCTGAGTGGGGAATATCTGTTAGATACGTGAACGGGTTGGTGGGGACCTGCGGGTTTCGCGTTATGCCCCTTCTGAACAGTCACCCAGTCTCCCTGCTGCTCGGGAGTTGCCGGGGGACGGCTAATAGGAGCTACCTTTTGCCGGTCCGCACCGGCTAACATGGGCTTTACTGTAGCTGAGTTTCTTTCTAAGATGCGGAGCCGGGCTTCTATGGCTATGATTCCCGCCTCCAACCTAACAACTATACTACATTTAACACATGTATCGGTACCAGTAAAGGAGGTAGGGAAGTAACCAAACATGAGACAGTTAGAGCAGGAAATAGCACCCGAGGGTGGGGAAAGAGCCATGGCTAGCTATCAAGCTAAAGTAGCTACCGTTAGCAAACCCGAAAAGAGTGTAGGCAACTGTGGAGTTACAGTCGCTAAGAGAAGGAGAGTTGTGAGAGCTTAAGTTATAGTAACGTGTGATTACAACGTCAGGCAGTTGCCGTGATCAAGAGTTTTAAAACGATCGATTAAGTTAAGATAATAAGCTATCAGCAACAGAACGGGCACACGGGATACCCGGAGATGACAACAACCGGAAGTTACAACATGCTTACCGCAATAGTGGTCCGTGTCAGTCCTGTTAACTCTGTGCCCTGACCTGTTGGGGGATACCGCCGACACCTGTCCCGCCGACACCTGTTTCGTTGGGGGCCCAGCCGACACCTGCTCCGCCGGATTTCCTGCCAACACCAGGTCCTGTCCTGTTGGGAGTCCCGCCGACACCTGCTCCGCCAGGTTTCCTGCCAGCGCCGTGTCCTGTCCTGTTGGGGGTCCCGCCGACGCCTGTTCCGCCGGGTTTACTGCGAGAACCGTGTCCTGTCCTGTTGGGGGTCCCGCCGGTACGTGCTCCGCCGGGTTTCCTGCCAACGCCGTGTCCTGTCCTGTTTGGGGTCCCGTCGACACCGGCCCTTGCTCCTTCGTGGGTCCCACTGACACCGGCTCATGTTCCGTCCGGGGTCCCGTCTGCGCCTGACCCGCCAGGGGTTCCACAAGCTCCTGCCCATCTTTGTGCCCGACCCCCTGAGTTCCCCAGCCGCGGCCTTCGCCCTCGAGCCCGGCCCCCTGAGTGCCGCGGTGTTCACCCTCGAGCCCGGCCCCCTGACTTTCCTGGCCGCGGCCCTCGCCCTCGGGCCCGGCCCCCTGACTCTTCCAGCCGCTGCCTTCGCCCTCATGCCCGGCCCCCTGAGTTCGCCCGCTGTGGCCATCGCCCCTTTGTGGACTCTGCTTCGCCCCCGGGCTTTCCGCCCGAGTCCCCCTTCTCGACCTCTGCCGTGCCCCTTGCCGCCCGCCCAGATCCCTCCTCCAGACCCCTCCATCCACCCTTCTTGACCTTTTTGACTTTTTAGGCACGTCTGGGATCCGTCCCTTGAGGGGGGCATTATGTTAGGATCTGTTTATTTTATGTTTTATTTTGGAATTGTCTAGGACAGTCAGCTTCCTGTTTTTCATTCAAGGATGTTCACCCCCTGTCTGTCATGTGTGTATTTGTTTCCTGTCTGTGTTTTCCCTCCTGCGTGATTACCTGATTCTTTTCACCTGTGTCTTTGTGTTTTCCCTCCCCTCCCCAGCTGTGTCTTATCATCTTGATTGGCCATGTGTGTATTTAAGTTCTTGTTTTCTGTTTGGGGTATTGTGGGTTCCTTTTTGTGCTTAGAGGGAGATACAGTTCCTGTCTGGTTTTTTGTTGATCCTGTTGCCTTGAATAAAGTATTTTTGCTGTTAAACTTTCGTCTGTCTGCACTTGGGTCCTCCCTGCGCTGCTCAACCTTAACAATCACTCCATGATAATAACTTGCGACATTATAAACACAAACAGACATCATAACACGTGGCACTAGATAGCAAAAACGGTAATATGTCCTACCTTCGTTGTTGTCTGATCAAAAGTTATCTTAAATGGCATTAAAACGATTAAAACGCTAATGAAGTTAATCCATAGGTTGTCTGTGTCACTTTGAAATGATTTATGATAATCTATAAGCAATAAACCTACTTTTCAGATTTCAGAGCGTGAGACAGGTTTCGGTTTACGGCAAACTGCATGCGCGAAGCCCCCACTTTTTTTTTGTAATGTTGGTGTGTATGTGGAAATTCCCCTTTTATTCTATTGGCTCTAACGGTTAAAAAGAGATGTCAATCATCAAA